TGGGCACTACATTAGCCTTTTTCCAGTCATCTGGGACCTCCCCCGATCGCCATGAGTTTTCAACAAAAATAGTCTCAAATTCATTCAACAGGATGAAAAATGGTCAGGCATGCCACATTCCATATATTGATGCCTTTCCATACTCATAGTGCAATTATTAAAATCTTTTTCATTTTGGAAGATGCAGTGCTCCTTTAAGTATAAAACTGATCTTGGGATCATTTTGCATGGCACAATTGGAAGTATGTCAACAAGAGGACAGGAGTTGGGGAGGAACAAAGTAGCCTTAAAGCTGGGCAGCACTACATTTCCAAAGTAAAATCAAATAATATAAAACAAAACTAAATATAATAACACAATCTCAGTATAATAACTCAATGGGAGAACTCATGAGCATAAGTGTTTGCAGGACCTATCTATCTGAGGCAATTACATGGCTCCCATCACCATAGTATGTGAGTGCCTCCCAGTCTTTAATATATTTATCCTCACAACGCCCCTGTGAGGTAAGGAAAAACTTCCTCTCCAAATGACTAGGGCCTCCAGGAAGAAAAAAACAGAGACTTTAAGCCAAACTTTACAGTGACTTAAATTCAACTCCCCTGATTTCACTGAAGTAGCATGCGCTGTAAATGAACATGGACTTTGGCCCTGTGTCTTTACAAAGAAAATAAAAGTGCCATGTAAACCTATGGAAGTATATACAAATGTTTGATAAAGATGATAATATGCCTTCAAGGACAAATTCTGCCTGAGTTATAGTTCTTGCAACTCCATTGATTTCATTGGATTGTATAGGGGTGTGAATCTGAACAAAAGTTAACCCTTTAAATTCCACTGAAATAGATTGGATTTAGAAAGTTTTTGGAGAGGGACAGTTATCACACACACACAGGGAGGTAGTCTATTGTGTGGTGGGTGTGTGTGTGTGAGAGAGAGAATGTGAAGGGGGGAAGGAGATAGAGGGGGGCGTATTTGAGATGCCCATCATCTCAGAGTTCTGTGTTTCAGTGTGTGCATCCCTCTGACACGCACACCCTTTACACAGTGCTGGAAACAAGTGTGTGTGTGTGTGTACACACAAGACAAGATCTTCTCTCGGCTGGACTGGTACAGCTAGCTGGATCCCTGGGAGTGACGTCACCGTCTTCCCCCTCCTCCTTCCCCCCATCTCACCCCCGCCCCCCGTGTGTGTCTCTCTCTCTTGTTTCCTATGTCCTCAGTCAGTCAGTGGTCCAGGGAGACACTGCTGGCTCAGTGCTTCTCCCTCTCTCAATACCTTCTCCGCTCCCGCACCGCTCTGCAACAAGCTCTCCCCAGCACTCGGGGCCATACGGATCCTGTGATCCACGCAGCCTGAGAGGATTTAAAAATAATAATAAAAAAACCCCAGCAAAACAAAGCGAGAGGGAGGCACCTCCACCACTTTACTCCTCCTCACCCCCCCCCCCCTTACTCCCAGGGGAGTCCGAGCAGGGGCACTGTTCCTGCTAGTGGCTGTTTCCCCCTGTCTTTGCCCCCCAGCCCCGAGAAAGGGAATCGCCTTTTGCCTCCAGTCTGTGTGCACTGCACTCTATTTGGAGCGGCGGGGCGAGCAGAGGGGGGAGGCGGGTGGGCGACCCAGCTATTTGTAGCCACAGACTCTGCTACAAGGCGAAGCGGGGGGAAGAGAGGAGGAGGAGGAGGAAGCGGAGCAGAAGCTTGGGACCAGAGCGAGCGCCCGGGAGCAGCGGCAGAAGCAGGCGGAGGACGGAGCCGGGAAGAGAGCGGCTGGGGGAGCCGGCTGCCCCTGGCTGCTGGATCTCCGGGCTCCCGCCGACTCTCCCCCACTTGCCGGCGTTGGACTGTGAGAGCCACGCACCAGCGCCAGACCGCAACGACCCGCGGGCTCCTGCTGCTTGGCTTGGATTAAATTGGCCGCCCCGGAGCCCAGCGAGAGGAGGTGGCGGCGGCGGAGGGAAGCGCCGGTGGTGGCGGGCGGGCAGGCGGCGGCGGTGGCTGCTGCTGGGACTGGGGGAGCCAGCATGACCAGGTAATTTCCCCCGCCGCTGCCCCATTGCTCCCCCCTCTGCCGCTCCATCTGTGCGTGTGTGGGGAGCATTGCACACATGTGCACCACACTCAGCACTCCCCCCTTGGCGTTAAACAGGCTGCCCCTAGCCCTGGCCAGACCCCTCGCCTCTGCTTTCTTCTGGGTTTTAATCTCGAACCACGGCTGAGAAAGGACATGAAGAGAGTTGTTGTGGGGTGTGTGTGTGTAAGGGGGGGGGGAATTGACTAGTGACCAGAGTAGACGTTTCCACTGAATTCCTACTGTAAGTGTGGGGGGAGGGGGGAATTCATGTATCGTGTATTGTAAAGAGGGGTGAGTTGTTATTAATGATAGCATTTTTTTATTTGAACTAGTGGGGAGAAGGGGAACTAGCAGCAATCAAAGGGAAAGTGGCTGCCATTCACGGTATGGGAGGAATTGTTTGGAGACCTTTTACACACTGGAATCAGATCAGTTCTCTCTTTTCCCCTATAGCAATTGCATATGATTGTGCATGATGATAAGAAGTTTTTTTGTTGTTTGTTTTTTTAAAAAAGGTCCTTTTTTGAAACCACTGTAAAGAAACCGAAACAGTGCAGCTTTCTGTAGGGTTATAATGGAACTCTCACATTTGTGCAGAAAACTTATTTTACTAGCTCCCTCTTAAAATTCATATTTTTTGTAAGCAGGGACTTTCCCCACTTTTAATGTAGCCTACTTTGACTTATAAATACAAGATCTGTTTTCTTTATTCAGTTCTAAGTGCTACATTTTGGGGCGGGGATATTTTTTCCTTAAAACTGTCACCCCCTCCCAAGCCATCATCACTTTTCCTTTTTCAGACACCTCTCAATAAACACATTTCTGTTTCTCGTTGTTATTTGAGACTGTTGTCTGATGAGTATACATTCTCCTGCCTGGCCTTTATACACTGTACCACCACACACACACCTTTCTATTTCTTCTCACCTTTACCCCATACATACACACAATTTAAAATTTAAGCTTTTACATATATAAAGAGGACCATTTTGTTCACCTCGCCACAGAGCAGCAAAGGTTTTATGTTTTTCTGTTCATTCAATATTCACTGGAGACTATGCGACATTTCATGTAAGACCTTAGATACTACTTTGCTTTGGAATTTCCTAATTACAGGGGATGGATATGTTTATTTTATGTTTCTATTCTCTTGAGTATTTAAACTTAGTCTCAACTTTCTATGTGAATTCTATCTTGTGACCCTTTTGCCAATTGCCTTCTCCCTACCTTCTGCACAAACACAGGCAACTTCTGTAACATCAAGACTTTTACTTTGAATCTTGATGCATAGATGAAGAAACACAGCTCTAAGATATTTTGTGTTCTTTGGTGTCTGGTAAAAGATTTATAATATTTACTACTTTCTATTCTTTATGGAAATGTGGTTTAGAATATATTGTATTACATAGTTTTTAGTTGGTTGGGAAAGAACAAAGCTTTATTGTTCATTGTTATTGAACAGAGCAGCTCTGAACAAAATAAAATTCTCCCTTGTCCCCCAAAATAATTGTATGTACTTGCATCTCATATAGCTAGCAATTTTGTGACAGTTTCCTTAAATTCACTCTCATGAGATCAGCTATTATTGTATTTTTTGAAGTGTGAAATTGACAAACTGGTCAGTTTCATAAATTCAGCTGTCAAATGTTGTCCAGTTAAAATAGCTAAAAGCTGTAATGTGTCGGCATGGGATTTTCAAAGAACTAGGTGGTGTAGCTTTTACACAGACATGGAGAGGGATTTAATTGGATACTTTTTACAGGAGTAGCTTTCCAATTTTAGTTGTCACTTGTGGTGGTATGGTGGAATATATTTAGGTTTCTCTCAATGCTGAAATGATGTATAGCTTGTGTATATTCACTTTAAGTACTGAGAGCTTTGGCTAAGTAGTAGACTTCTACTCTAAGAAGGCACTAAGAAATTCATTGTGGTTTATGTGTGCTATGCCAAGCTGTCAGGAATGGCGTTTCAAAAGGAAAACTGCATTTCTGAGCTTCTAGATGTCAGGGTCTGTGTTTTAAAATCTGCTTTTAGTATTAGCAGTCATATTATTTTTAATGAATAATAAAAAGTGGTATAAATTAAACATTCTGTTGTGGCTGTTATGTAACTCAAACATTAGTTGTGCCAGTGCACTAAATGGGAAATGGTAAAACATACAGCATTTAATTTTCTGAGGAGGTTTGTGAAAACAGCTCTGGGGTTGTATTTAGAAATGAATTGTTTAGTATTTTAAATTTAATCAGTAATTCAGCTTTAATTTTAAGGTCACCCTTCATTTCTAAACCGGAATAATACAGAGACTAAAACTAGCCAAGCTAAAGAGTAGGAATCCCCCTTCATCTGGTGCTGTGTGTGCTAAACCACTAGGGGCCTGTATAAACTGCTCATGTACAGCAAATACCAGTGCACAGCATATGCACCAGAAGGACATTTTTAACACAGATAGCCAACATCAAAATGACACTTTTCTATGATTTATTGCCAATAAATTAGACTAATGTTGTTTGGGAGTTAAATGTATGTTGTCCTCCCCCTTCCCCCATAATTATATTCAGGATTGTTGACTCCCCTGCCACTGTGGTTGAGGAAGGACGCTATCAGAGGTGATAGGCTACATTTCTTTGTCTCATCTTAAATGTATGTTTCCTTTATTAGATTAATAATGGCACTTTTCCCATAATGCAAGCGTAGGGTTAAAAGATAATCTAAATAGGATTACTCTAAGGAAGGAATGGACATAGATTGATGGAGTATTTAAACTAGCTTTGTAAGTGCTGTGTAAGTTGGCAAGTGCGGAGATTCCAAGGCTGTGGCTGGAGTATAGTCAGCAGTTATAGGATCTGGACTGAAGATGCTCTATACATTTTTGAGTGTCAGTTTCACAAATTTAAAATCAACCAACCATGGAATTCTTGATAGACATTAGGGAATAAGGTCAAGTATACTTACACTGTTCCTTTGTTGATTTTCAGTTTTTCAAACTGACAAGGCAGACCATTTGTAAAAGAGCACAGCTGAAACATTCGCATATTGAATTTCCTTCAAAATGAACTTGATTTATCAAGCTATTGGGCAATTCTATTTTTAAAAGGATTCTGGAGATAAATCAGGATACTATAAGGTCACATAATGAAAGTGCAACTTCAGTACGCTGTGTTTAGTTTTTAATGGGCTATCTTACTTTAAAAACAGCTGAGTTATGTCACATCAAGTGGTGTGGGTGGTCATTTGCCACAATAGGCTTTCTGCTCGGTTCCAAAAATTTAATTATTACAAATATTTATTAACTTTCCATTTTCAGAAAGGGCATCAAAATGGGATCCTATATATGTAAATAAATAATAGTAATGAAGCCCACCTGAATAAGTCTCCTTAAATCATATATATCTTTTTAAGGGTAGGAATTTCAGATAGTATTTTGATAAACCAAGTCTCTCTCTTCTGAAATGCACACGACATACTTTGGATATATTTATATTCAAAATACAACAAGGACTAATTACATATAAACAGTCAGTATAAGTGCTTGAGCCAACATGTTTCACTCTTGTATTACTGCAAGCTAAGATCTGTATTTTTTTTTTTAATGGAGAAAAAAGTATAGAGATTGAATTTTTTTTTAAAGTCAGTTAAATACCAAAGGGCCATATCATGCCATCACTTTTTAAGCAAAATCCCTCATTGTGAATTTGTTGAAAAACTGATGGCATACTATGGTCCATATATTTCATTAAAACAATAAATTTCATATTTGCTATGGATTGTTTATTTGTTTAATACTTCTAGCCCTTGATTTGTTTGGAAAAGGCTTAAAAGGAAGCTACTTATGAATGCACAATGGCAACTGGCAGCCTGGAGCAGAATCAGTGTTTAAAAATATTCCTTCATATATTATCAATGATTTACCAGGTAGGAGCAAAGGGAAAGAGTGTTTTCTCTCTGTGGTCCACTACACTGAGAGCTCCTGTACAACACATCTACTGAGGAAATCTGATGATGTAGAAAAAGATTGCTTGAGAGTGCTTGGCCTGTAAATTCCTTTCCAACAAGCTTCACTTGTTGTTTGAACTGCTGTGCATTCATAGAGCTGTGTGTCTGCCACTGCACAGGTTTAGTTTGGGATCTATTTTCCCATAACATCTCTCTGATAATCTCAGTTGGTTTTAACTGGTGAGTGATAATACTTATTTAAACATCATGTGCAAATCTTCACATATGGGTTTGCTAGCTAAAATACACGAAAAAATTGATTGAAAAATTACTAAAAATGATGTTCTTTTGTAAATATCGTGATCAAAGAATTGTTCCAATCCTAAAAACCTTGCTTAATAATAGTGATTTTAGTTTTTTTCAGGCTGTTTTAATTCTTCAATTAAGATGACAATTCATACACGTAATTTGTTCTTTTTGCCAGCTCAGTTTTAGCCATAATATGTGCTTTTTAAATATATTTACTTTCCTTGGATCAAAAGGCTTTGCACGTTTAAGTATCTCATGCTTACCAGCTGTGACGTATTCCTCAGAAACTAACATTATTCAACTGTAGCATAATAATAGGGAGGAAACTAAATTGTGATGGATATTGCAGCAATTGCTACAATAGGAGAGACGTCACAAATTTAAACGTCATGCTTATACCTGTGTCTCTCTGTGATCCCCACTAGCAATGCTGTGTGTAGTATATACTTTCAAAATTTACCAGCATACTGAACATACAGTACATTTCTCCTCGAATCAGTTCATTAAAAATGATGTGATTTTATATTCTCACACTAAAACTGTTTTTCTCTTTGATTCATGGCACTAGAAGACATGTCCCAATTTACTATCAGGCTCTGTGCTACATTTCCTCTTGGTTCCAAGTATAGCTAGGCTACTTCATATCTTCAATAGTTCTTTCAATGTATATCCATTGGTATAGAAAATTATTTCATTGTTTTCCAGATAATTAAAAT